ATAAGTAAAATTTAAATTGTGTGGTGCGATAATGTTGTGTGAGGTAGGTGAGGTAGTGTGGTTGGATGACGTTGTCGTGTGATGCGGTGTGATGATTTTGGATAGTGTAAAGGGACCGGAAGCACGTGAAGAGGGGAAGGGGCGAAGGGGGAGAATCAAGCATAATTCATTCCCGTTACACTTTTTTTCAAGGTTTCTTAATCTGAAATCGTTGATTTACTTTGGAGGGCAAACCACGCCTATAGAAGTGTAACTTCGAAAAAAAAAAAAAAAAAAAAAACACTATAAACGAATAAAAATTATGTATAAGATTAAAACTTTTATTTTTTCTGTAATCCATACTGTAAGTTACAAGTGGTCGTCACCTCAAGGTATTAATTATAAGGAACGTAAATACAAGCCAGAATATAATATATGTGTACAGACAAATTTTCTTGTATATTTGGATGTATATTATACTTTACTGGTAGGAATCATATTTGATAATATTGTAATAAAGGTAATCATTTTTGTACTTTCAGATTTTTACTCTCTTACGTTGAAAGTTAATAATTTCTTAAAAGTTTTAAAATCTAAAAATTATACTCATACCCTAAGAAATTATTTTAATATTATGAAATTACGAATCAGCGTTGCCAACAAAAAGTATAAACTTACTAAATTATTTAATAGAATTAGTATTCGAAATATATTTATTCCGACGTATACAGTAAACGAGAGTTATGAATCGCATTAAAAAAAAAAAAAAAAAAAATATGACGACAGCTGGAATCGATCTTTAGATAGCAAAAAAATACGAGCAGCGGCATAAACCTTAACCATCTAAGCTACCATAACTGTGATTGAGAAAGATCTTGGAGTCACATGTGTTCATTGATAAACTCCAGAGCTTGTCTTACAATTTATAACAATTATGATGAGGAAAAACAATAATGTAAGGTAAATGTCCCAGGAGTTGGCTACCTTAAGGCTGTTGTATCAGTACTTGGCCACCTCCACGTAAAATATATGCAAAAGCTAATGGTCAACTATTGAGATACATGCATTGCTTAATAGTTGGCCACCAGATTCATCTGTGTATGTTATACAGTGGCCAAGTATTGGGACCAATTTTTTAGTGGCCAACTACTGAGACCTTATTACCTATTGACCTTAGTAGTTGTAGCTGAACTGCCATCCTTAAAATTAATAACTGAATATTTTTTAAAAATAATGCTGGATTTTAAAATAAGTATTACCGTACGGGAAAAATAAAAAAAAAAGTTTCGAAATTAACTTCTGTGGATATAATTATGAGCATTTAGTTCCACGATTTCACTGAATAAGATTGATAGATAACATTTAAGCAAGAGCGAAAGCAAGAGTCAGTTGAATATGTAGCATATACACAGTTGCAGTCAAAATAAGAGAAAAACTAGTGCCGTCACTTGCTTCGGCTGTACGCTCGCTGCATAGCTATAGTCAACGTTTCCACTCCTCTCCTTCTATGGACACACATTCGATATACCCCTTCTACATGTCTCCAAAGTAAGCGCCTATATGCTCATTTCCAAGCGAATCCACCATAGAGGTATAAGAATAGAGGGAGTGATCAGGCTACCAAAATATCAGAAAACGTTTGAAAGTGAACCGCGTTACAAATACACGTTCTCAAAAAAAATGTCTCAGCATGAAAATGCTTATATCGGAGTTGAAACAGAGTGAAGAGTTGTCGACAGTGAAATTTTTGCAGGTTACTTGATTTTTTTTATAACTAGTTGTATCAATAGGTTACTAATTTCTTTAATTATGATGTTCAAGATTTTTAACAAAAACAAAGTTAATTTTTACAAATCGGCATTAAGAATGAGTGCCACTGAGATGAAATTTTTAACTGATTTAAATCAATTGTACAATTTTAAAATTAAATAGGACAATAAAATAGCTATCACATATTAATAATGTCATTATGAATAATAATCACTATGTCTGCTACATAAGCATGGATTTTAAAAATTCATGAATAAAAAGAGTTCCAATTGACAAAAAGGTTTATGATTTTTTAACTTCTTTTTTTATTCTAACATTGTTCAAACTCATATGTTCACCCACATGAAAAAGCCCAGACTCGAGAGTCGAGAGTCGAGAGTCGAGACGAGAGCCTTACTGCACATGCTCACCCAATTAGAGAAGGATAATAGAAGGGGCCTTCTTGCAGCTTTCTCTCTCGCACGTAGAAACATCTCACAGTACAGAGTTACATGGGGATAGCTCCCTCTATTCTTATACCTCTATGGAATCCACTCCTCTTCTCGTATGCGAGCGCTATTCGATACGAGTCTCGCACTCTCGAAAATGCACCTGGTTCGATGGCTGGCCGCGGCGGGTCGCCCCGATCAGTGCCAAAAAGTCGCCTTACATCGTAGCGTTAGCAATAGCAATCTCGTTACTTATCTCTGATATAAAAGGTTAAAAGAGGCTAGCCACATGTTTTTTTGAAAATTAAGTCATACAACTAAATGCTTACAATTATAAGCACAGGCTTTTAAGGCATTTATTTTTAAATTCTTTCCCTAATTTACGTTGTACTATAATACAGTGTATTAAAGATAGAGCGTTGGAAAAATATTTAGGTTAAACTATTTTTTGAGGTTGACAAGATGGCTGTCACCACCTTAAAAACAATTTATAAGTTTTCCTTATCATAATCACTAAGAACTGTAGGCTAAGCTCCGGAGGTTATCAATGAACATATGTGACTTTGAATTATACGATGTCTAAAGTTTGAAAGACTAAGAGTTGGGTCTCGGAAAATGGATGACGTCATTTTACAGCCAGGGTGGGTTCCGGTCATTAAATGGACCTCTGTTGCATTAGTTTCTAATTGAGCAAGTTTATAAATACTACAGTTTTTTCATTACATTTTATCTATGCCCCGGATGTTGATATTTGTTTTACGGAACACTTTGTTAATTAATGAAGCATTAATTAATAATAGAGGCACCCATTACCAAATAACATGAGGAGCTAACTGGCTAGTGTGTTGATTTTAATTATTATTCAATTAATTTAATTATTGGTCAGTAAGCGCCTTGTATTACCTGGTAATTGACAATTGTAGTATGAGTTAATACTTTAATAACTGAATAGGTGGCCAATAGGTATCCTGTATGATCAAGTAACTGACGCTTAAGTTATTAATGTATGCTTGATCAGTTTAACTATCACTCAGTGAGCCCCTCATGTTATCTGGTGATTGGCGTTCGTATCATTAATTAATGCTTCATTAACTTATGAATAGATACACATATATTGCCAACTTAATATTGAAGAAAAAAGTTTCATTTAAAGGCTCTTTCTTGCCATTTCGTTTACAAATGCTCTTTCTTTTGAGCAGGAATCTAAAAAAGCTCTGTTGAACTATTAAGTTTAAAAAGGATCCCTCTTGATTTTTCCTCTCAAAAGACTTTTACGCTGACTTAACGAACTGTTGTTCAAAGAACTCTGCTTTTTCTAAATGTACAAAAAATCATAAGATTTTCATAATGATCTGCACCATAAAAACAACTTTATTATTCTCAAACTAAGTTTTTTTTTCTAAGTGATCGAAATATTTTATTTATTACAATTTTTTTGGCAGTCTAAAACTAAAAAGTTTTTTAATATCTCATTAGCCACTTGGCCACGACGAGGCTCTCAAAACAGTGGTAAAAAGTAAACTCCAGTCGTAGAATTGCAGTCAGCAATATCTTTACTAATCTCTGGTTCTTACATCTTCTTCTAAATAGTTTAATTTTTAGTTATAGTTTAATATGCTAGAAAACATTCAACAGCTGCAGCATTAAACGACGGAAACAATTTTTAATTCATGCTCTGTGTAAACATTTATTTTTTATATAAATTTCCGTTATGTAGTTCAACGAGTTTATGTTTATAAACTATTTATGTACGAATACTCTGTATACCCTTCGTAAAAATTAATTTTTTTGTTGTATATTAAAATACATTATTCATTTTTTCCATAAAAACATTGTTTTACTAACATAAGAATATAATGTGCTTGTTGCATTAGTTAATTAAATCTGTGAAAAAGTGGGTCTCACAAGAAGTGTATTGGATTAAAAAATTAGAGCATAATATGGGCTAATTCATACTTAAGAGAGTAAGGGGTTTCTAGTAAGTTACAATGTGTATGTTCAGCTAAGCAAATGAGAAGCAAGATTCCGCTCGTAAAGAGAGTATTTATATTTTATAACTAAGAGCCATTTAGGTACATAGTTATATAATGTTATAAATAAAGAAATTGACGCATTAAAAACTTCGTACATATAAAAATTTTCAACATTGTTTAATAAGTCTGCCTATGTATTAATAGGTATTAGAGATTTATTATCCTGTACGTACATGTATTATTAGTATGTATAAAGTAAATCTATTTGCTTCTTCGGCGGTGTAGAAAAATAGGTAAACAAATTTTTAATTTTGAAAAAACTTTTTCTAATATAAAAAGAAACATAATAAAATGCACATTGTAAGTAAAAGTACAGTAATAATATCATGAGCTTTGATGGATAAACGCTGCGTTATAGAAGTATTTTTAATAATTTAGAATACTTGTAGTATAACAGATTTCAAGCATTTATGCGTATCGGTTATATAAATACCAAGCATGCTTCACCGTCTTCCACACTATCGCCAAACGCATAATAATTTGGATTAATAGTAAGAGCAAAGTCAAGTAATGGATAGTACTGTGGTTGTTGACAGTTTAGTAGTCTTTTAAATAAAATATAACCGGAAATTATGGAGTGATGTTTATTATTTCAATAAATAAAATGACCTTTACAAATATGCTTTAAATCTGATTAAATTTTAAAATTTTCTACTGAACATTTATGAAAAATTTTATAAACAATAAAGTAAGATATAGGGACTCATAAGACTATGAATAAATAAAACTTTTAAAATTTCATCTCGTGCTTTTATACATGTATATTAAATTCAAACATAAGAAAACTTACCCTATTTCTGTATTTATTGTCCGTATTCTTAAATTCTGCGAATATAGCATCTTCTAACTCTTCAGCTAGCTCATCTGGGCTAGCACACCCTTCGATAACTGTTCCATCTACTTTCAAGGCTGAAGCTAGTAATTCTCTACATTTTAATCGCACTGCATCTGTAGTTGTGGGAGGTGGAAAGGAAGATTGCTTTTTTAAACTATCTTTGCTTACTTTTTCTTCTTTCGATTTGTATTCTTTATTTTCAAAAAAAGGTTTATCGATTTTGAAGTCAGCACCGTCTTTTTGTCGATACAATTTTTCTTCCCTTTTTTTAAAACTACTATTTGAAGCATCTTTGCAATCTTTGTTTGACCCTATAAGTCAAATATCATTCTTTAAATTCTTTAATGTTGAAATAAAGTTTTTTAATTATAGTCACAAAAGACGTGACACTTACACCAGACGCCAGAGATTTTTGTGCACTTTTTGTAATACATACCTGGAAAATTTTTAGTTCCTTACTTAGTTATCTAAGAAGTAAGCCTAGATAAAGGTTCCTAAGCATTTTTGTTTAACAGTAAAATGCGTTCAAGGTTTAAAAATCTTTTCAAAATCGGTTTTGAACTTTTCGAATACTTGACGATTTTTTTTTTCTTTTATTATTTGCAAAATGTTCTTACACTTGTACGAAACAGTTAAACCTTTCAAACCAAGTCAGAAAATTCAAAAAACTACCAAAGTTTTGTGCCCCGAAAATATTTGAAAAAATATTGATTTCGACCGATTTTATGACGATTTTGTAGTAACACTACTTTTAGACACACGTATAAAACTATATAATTTTTTTAATTAAACGTCTTAAGGATTGGCTTTTGTACTGTTAAAAAAATTTCTATTTTTTATGATTAAGAAAAAACAAAAATGTTCTAACATACTCAGGAACCGAGATAATTTTTTTTTTTTCTTAAAATTCATAAGCCGTTAATTATCAAACGATCAGGCTAAGACTTGCAAATATTGTTGCTCAATACTTATTCATTCATAAAAGAAAAAGTAGCATCTGTATGCAGTCCGAAAATAATGAAATCCCGGTAAAACATCCACTACTGTACTCGCGGTGTGCCCCAGATTCCTAGTTTCAGTGGAGGAAGGAGTTTCAGCGGCGGCGGCTCTTCAAGCGTAGCGTGACAAAAAGAGATCAAATGGTTTCATATCTTCAATGCTTGCTAAAATATCATTTTCTCAGCTTTTTCTGCACGTAAAAGAATCCTTGTGAAATAGATTTAGGTTAGCTCGACGATATATAATCGATGGTTATTCTTGTAATTATGTACGATAGAAATTATTGTCAATAATTCTAACTTTTTATTTAGACGTCATAAAGACGTTGTTTTTAATGATTTATTTGATTATATATTAAAAATAATTAATTAATAGTAATGTTTCGTGTTACATAATACTTACATATTACCATAATCAACTTACAGAAAAAATTTGTTGAATAATAAAAAATGTTAATTATTGTGTCATTTACAACTATATTAAAAACAATAAAAAATAACAGGAAAATTTATCAAAAAGTTTTTTTTTACGTCTAAATATACAGTTGACAAAAAAATAAAAAAATACTATTACCATAAAAATTTTCCTGTTAATTTTCATTGTTTTACGTGCAGAGGAAGCTAAGAAAATGATATTTTAGCGAGCATGGAAGATTTGAAAATACTTGCTCTCTTTTCGTCAAGCTGCGCTCGGAGAGCCGCCACCGCCACAGAGGCTCTCCCCCCTCCACTGAAACTAGGAATCTGTTACGCACCGCAAGTACAGTAGTGATTGTTTCACTAGGATGTTATTATCATCCGGCTGTATACAGATTCTACTATTTTTTAAATGAAAATATAAGTATCGAACATGAACATGTGCAAGTTTTAGCCAAATCAATTAATAGTTAACGGCTTAGGGATTTTAAGAAAAAACCAGTGAACACTGGGTCTTTGGGTACTTAAGTATGAAGTAACACTTGTATAAAATTATATGGCAAACAGTATATTTATAAGTATAAAAATACCTTCTACGAAAAAATATTGTGTACGAAGGTGCTGCAATTATCGTGGGAATGGGTACACCTACGTTGATAAAGTATGATTTCAATTGATATTTGATGAGTTAACGATTATAAAAAATATGTTAGGGGCACGATACAATACAAATAATACATACACTGGCCAATACAAGACTGCGCTTTCATTGAATCTTCCGATGGTTTCAAAGCAACTTCCTACCGCCTATACACTGATTACATCGGTAACGTCACGCTCACATCTTATGCGCTCCCACACTTTTTGCTTATCCATATTTAATACCCAAAATATAATTGTACACAGAAAATTAAGAAAATCCATCCTGTAGTATAGTTTTCTTCAATAGGGTAGTATTACATGCCAGTGAATGTCCCTTCAGGACGTTCATCACACATAGGTTTGTTTGACAGATATTATTCAAACGAAAAACGTATGTTGAAATGGCATAAAAAATACACACAAAAATTGCAATTTGTTTGACTGCGCCATTATTTTCGACATGTTACATTTTTTTAAAATCGGTATTTAACATGCAACCTTATCAAAAAATAACGTTAAATGGCATTAATATGATTAGTAAGAATCTCCCAATTTTTTGGGTACAAAAGTTTAATTTTAGATAAACCTATAAAATTTTCAAATAGACCCACAAGTTGATTTTCAAATAAATTTAGAAAGCGGGGATGAAGTGTGCGTAAAAGCATGTATGTGAGTACATCCACATGAAAAAAATAATTGCTAGCTTTACTGCACACATTAGCGTTCTTCTCACTTCTATGAAGTTTTCCCCCATTGAGTATGTGAAGAACACCCTTAAGTCAAAGATCACTTCAATAACGATTGAAAAATTGTTAACAAATAAAACACAATAAAAATCAGTTAGTGTACTTGTACAGTACAAAAAAATTTGTTTTTAATTTTTAAAAATTTTGAAAAAATAAGTAAAGTTGGATAAACATTAATTTATTGTAAAAGTAACAAAAAAATTATCATGGAAGAAATATTTAATAATACATTCGAAAGCTGATCTACTGAAACACACTAATTTTCAAGTTTTCTAAAAAAAACATTAAAAACAAAAAACTATTATATCAAGTAAATCATTTATTAATTTAATTTATACCTATATTAAATAAATAAATAAACATTGAATACAAATTTACATGAAAAATAAGTTATGAACTACACAATAACATGCAGTAATTGAATTTCTTATTTTAGGACCGTTCGTAGCAAAGGGTCAAAATCTGAAATCGTTGATTTACCCTCGCACATAACGCGCCTGCAGAAGTATAATTTCAAAAAGTTGTGTCGGATCTTGAGCATGCTAGGAGATTTTTTCTTTTCTTAATTCACAAAAAAAGTAACTTTTCAACAGAACAAAAGCTTATCCTCAAAACGTTTAATTGAAAAAGTTATATGGTTATCTTCGTGTGTCTTAAATTAGTGTCACGATAAAATCGTCATAAAATCGGTCGAAATCAATATTTTTTGAAAATTTTAACGCGATACAAAACTTTGGTAGTTTTTTAAATTTTCTGACGTGGTTTAAAAGGTCTTAGTATTTTGTACAAGTGAGGGACACTTTGCAACTTATGAAAAAAAAAAATCGTCAATTACTCAAAAAGTTTAATACCGACTTTAATAAAATCTAGAGCGATTGTTCATATTACTATTATTGACAGTTGCAGAAAATCTTAAGCTTTTAGGTATTATTGTTCTTGAGATATTAAATATGTAAAAAAGCACATTGTACAAACTTTGTACGCTTTATACCGTTAAAAAAAATGCTTAGCGACTTCTACCTGGGCTTACTTTTTAGATGATTAAGTAAAGAATAAAAAACTTCTAAGACATGTATTACTAAAAGTGCACAGGAGAGGTAATTTAAAGCAAAACGTGAACAAAATCACTTTTTTCGATAAATTGTTAAATTAAAAAATGAAGCACAACTGTTGCACAGTGCGGGTAACGATAACCGTATTCAACGGCAAAAAATGCTTGAGAATCAATTAAAACATTGCTACTGCCTGGCAAATGCACATTTTTATATTATTCGTCTCCAGCGTCTGGTCTTATTAAATACTAATAATAAAAACTAGGAATAAAAATATTATTTTTCTCTTACTATTTCATTGAATTAATCGTGTTAAAAACAACTTGCAGCAACGATGTATAAATTATAATGTCTAGTATGTTGATATAACATAAAATAGTTTAAATATTAATTTTTTCAAGATAAAAAACATACTTAAGCAATTTAGGAAGTGTCAAGAATCGGTATGCAAAATTTCAGCAAAATCGGTTGAGTAGTTTTCGCGGTTAGCGATTACAACGGTTTTAGCGACTGTGCTTTATATATTATTAAGATTAAGATAAGATAGTAAAAAGAATAAAATAGTTGGTACTGCAGTGAGATTTTGATTAAGTATTATTTTATGTAAATCATTTGCATAAAACTTGGCACTTAAAGTATGGAGTAGTTTTTCTATATTATAGAACTAATCAACTTCATTTTAAAAAAAAAATTATTACAATATTATTTTGTTGACAAGAGCTATTTATTTTCAATAAAGAAAACGCAAAAATATACACTGTACGAAGGTTCTACTGCCCACTTCTTCCAAGCTGACTGGCTAAACCTAATTACGCTTGATCGACACGAGCAGTCGTGGAGAAATACTTTTCCTGCGATTGATGGTTAAAATTGCTGATCTTTCGAATTTGACATTACATACAAATTTCTGTCGAAATTATGTACGATATTTGTATTCCCAGTAATGAATGTTGAAATTGTTTACATTTTTGGGTGTCGTATTTACTGCGAGTTTTTGTTTTAAGATTAACACTTTATAAGGTAGTTTGGAGGTAAGACGCGTAGTTGAGTTTTTCGACGGTAGCTCTTTTGGAAAGAGGTAAGTTACATGTCACGTGATTGCAAAACCAGATATAAAAACTGCTCAGCGTTTGCTTTTTTGCACATGGTATGCGTTCAATTTACAAATGTTTTTTGAATAAACATTGATTCAATTTATTTTTACGTTTTAAAGTTATTTTAAATTGCTATCATTTAAAATAAAAAATAATAATAACAATAATAATAAAAATGTTGACATGTAAGTTGAATTTATCAAAAATTTTACTTTTTCAGATGTTTTTCTGTTCTTAACACATGTTTTTACTAACTCTGGACTAAAATACCATTTAAATTTTAGAATACAAACAATGGAATGTACAATTTAACATGCAAAAATATTGGCTTTTCTAAGAAAAAATCGAGTTTATTATAACTT